CTGACGGGCTTGCTGCCTGCCGTGCTTGCTTGGATGAGTCTGCGACATGCCTAATAAGAGACGAGATGGGCCAGGGCGACGAGAGCGACCGCATTGTGATCAACGTGGGAGGGACTAGGCACCAGACTTACCGCAGCACCCTGCGCACCCTGCCCGGCACGCGGCTGGCCTGGATCGCTGAGCCCGATGCCCACAGCCACTTTGACTATGATCCCCGCACGGATGAGTTTTTCTTTGACCGGCACCCGGGCGTCTTCGCCCACATCCTGAATTACTACCGCACTGGCAAGCTGCACTGCCCCGCGGACGTGTGCGGGCCCCTGTATGAGGAGGAGCTGGCCTTCTGGGGCATCGATGAGACCGATGTGGAGCCCTGCTGTTGGATGACCTACCGGCAGCACCGCGACGCCGAAGAGGCTCTGGACAGCTTTGGTGGGGCTCCCCTGGATAGCAGTGCTGAGGACGGAGACATAGATGGCACCGGAGACTCTGGTGATGGTGAAGATGAGCTGGAGATGACAAAACGCCTAGCACTTAGTGACTCCCCAGATGGCAGGTCTGGGGGCTTCTGGAGACGGTGGCAGCCCCGCATCTGGGCACTCTTTGAGGATCCCTACTCCTCCAGATATGCAAGGGTAAGCAATGCAATCAGCACCCTCATCAAAACACTCAAACCTCGCTGCGGTCCCACTTCCTCCCAGCATCACCAGGGCTCTCTCCACTGTCAGAGCAGAGCAGCCATCCATGTGTGTGGCCATACAAAAATCACCACGTGGGGTCCATGGGGATGTAGCCCACACTCTGAAGCAGGCCCCAGGCATGGGGAACTAGTAGATACCAGGCCCGAGCCTATGTACTCAGATGTGGGCCTCCAGAGACCCTTATTTTCTAATAAGCTCCTAAAACTCCCGGCCTGGGGCAGGGTCCCGGTCATAGGCCAGAGAGGTCTCCATTACACCAGGAAATTTCCCTCTATGCATAGATTCTTACAGTCAGACATCCCCCAGTAAAGAGAGACACCTTGTCCAGCACTCTTACAAGCTAATGGCTCTCTCCCCTTTACGAGATGGGGAAAGGATTATGGGAGCAAGCATTCCCAGTGGTACCAGGGGATTTGGAGAGTTTCAGCCTGCACTAGAAAGGGAGTCAGTGCCTTTCTCTTTTCTCATACATACCAAGTTAAATATTTATGAACATGCTTCTCTGAAAATGGGTAATTCAGCTGCTCACTCTGTCTCTTTTTCCCTTGTGGGAAATGCAAAGTATTAATCAGAGGAAAGGGTTTCATTCATGTAGAAGGGACAGAGTGTTTGACAGGTTTCTTGCCTGCTACTGAAGGACAACTCCTCCCCTCCTGGTGCCTGCGGTTGTTTTGGAAAGGGAATGCACACTGGTGCAGCTCACACAAAGGTATGGATAAAAATGGTCTGTAACAGTCATCCAACTGCTTTAGGCACCTCCTCATGCTATGAGAATAATTACATTAATTAGGGGCTGATTCTGCTCCTGAAATCAAAAGTACTGAAAACATTTGCTTCAGGAACAGCAGCAGGATTAACTCCCAAGATAGTCAATTTGATAACTAGGGAAACAGATGGAGGATAGTGCCTTCATAAAGAAATTGGTTGGCATAGGCTCTACTCTTAAATGTACCTTTGTTAGAGCTTAATTTTTGCCAGACCTCAGTAAGGATGAGTGGTGCTTTGGTGGGGGAGGGTGATCAGTGTTCCTGAGAAGGATCAAAGAAGTGAGATCAGATTAGGGAGAAAATTGGATGGATGGAGGAAAGAGAAGTGGAAATGCAAGGAGCAGGGAGCTGGCTGTGTATGAATGGGTGGCTGAATAGCAGCTGCCGGAGACTTGGTCTGAGCAGAGATCTCCAGCAGGGAGACACCAGGTCTGCAAACTGAATGAATGGGGAAAGCTGGAGCAGAGCCTGGAGTTATATCTTGGTGCATTTCTAAAGATTCTTGTTTGTACACCATTTGGACACTTCCTCCCTGAACAAAGGAGTTCATATTTTAAATTAATTCCTTTAAACAGCATGGAGGATTAAGGAATAATAGAATATTTACCACAAGATGGAAAGATGATGCTGTTGTATTGCAGCTTTCAAATTCCTGGTTTCTGCCAAGGGAACAAGGCTGGAGGGTATCCTTGAAAATGCTTGGTTTCCATTAATCAAGCCCAGTGTTAGCAGGCAATCTGAATGGCAGATCTCTCTGGTACCCAGGAATCTGTTGGTAAAACATACTTCAAGTGAAAGTAATTTGCTTGTTCAAGGTTTTGGGAAATGGTTCAAAATCCAAATGGATAATGTTGTCCCAATGAAAAGAATACAGAGCTTAAAACACCCTTTTTCTTGGAGGCATTACGATATTTTAGGAGAAGGACAAGAATTTATAACCAATATTAGCAGTCTTTGTGATGCACAGGCTGGAATTCTAGACGGATATAAATTCTCTGAGGGTATTTTCATTTAGCAATAGGTGTTTAATAAAATGTTTTGGCTTTGTTGGGGTTTTTTTTTGAGCGGATGATGTACCATTTATTCACATTCACTTGTGCATACCTGTTAGAATCCAACTTCTGATTTACCTCTGACTTGTTCTTTCCTTAGAGGATTGTTAAGACTAGATAAATATGAGTACTCTGAATATTTCATGGGTTAAATATGATTCTTTAACTTGTATCTATGGAGACGTAGGCCACATGCATTAATATTTTGCATGAAGGAAGATGGCTTTCCTCATCAACACATGCACACACTGTCCATTAAGAAGACATTATAGGACACTTAACATTTCCTAATAAAAGCCATAAGTTATGGTTATGGATGTAAAAAGAGATGGGAGTTTGATTTATGCTCCTGTAACCTATCACAGACATTGAAAAAGACCTGAAGCTCACAATAGCTAATTTATAGTAAAATAATTGATAACATCATTAACACGCGAATGGTATATTAAGGAAATTATTGGTAGAGTCAGGCAACAAATCACTGTTACCCCACTTCTAATTGAGTCCGCTTCTTTTAGTTACAAACTGCAATTTGTGCAAAAATCTAAATTCACAATGCCATTTTGTCAAAAAAAAAAAAAAACCACAAAATTTTCTCTTCCTAAAGGGAACTGAGATCTGTACTAAGGGTGGTTATTACAGACCTCTGATGTTTACATATGGCACCAAAATGCATGTCAAAATAACATCTCAGTGTAAGCATCAGTTTACATAACCATTATAGTGTTACACTTGGGCAAGTAAAAGGAATACAGTCTCTGAATATTAAGATTAAATGAAAATCTGCATATCTGTATAAAGCAAGATTCTCTGGACTGTATTGGTATCCTAGATCAGTGAATGTTTAGGAACTGTATATGAAAAGCTCAGCATTTACTCAAATCCAGCCATTCTTGGAGGATTTTGATGGACGCTGCTTGCAAATACAGGTACATTTGACTGTTTTGCTTCACCCCCACCTGACTCATACTAAATTACTTCTGAGCTCCTTGTAGACAGCCAGGGAAGACTGGAAGTGCATTTGTATACGTCAGGCAAAATCAGCTAACTCTGCAAATTTTGTTTATTTCTTACTTTGATTAGGCAAAGCTCCTAGTCACCAATCATTTGTCTTTAGGTGCAACATAGTCAACGGTTGCTTGTTAAAACAATAGTGGCTGATTTTAATTAATTTCAAGTTTTTTCTGCTCTAATTTCTTAATAATGTAGTTCTTTCTAAAAAGAGGAAACACTTCAAAATTGCATAATCTTCTATATCTATAATAAGAAAAGACAGTTTGTTTCAAATGACAAACTGCCTTAGACATCTATCTTAGTAAGATAAACAGGTATTACACTTCTCCTTAACCTAAAGAACCCATGTTTGGATATCAGAGGCAAAATCTTGTGCCTTGAGATCTGAACAGAGTAACAAAAGATGATGGGAAAGATCCAGGGATCCAAAATCATCTGTCCAGACAGCTAAATATCACTGACCATACCTAAACTGATGTTTCTTTGAAGCTCATTAGAACTGTCCTTTTTGCATCATCAGACAACTTTGTAAATTAATTTATTCTAAGTAGGCAAAAAGGGGGAAATACAGCCAGCCAGAAAGCTGTGCTAAAGC